TGGTTCAGCAGGTCCCATGAATGATTACAGAGCATGGGCAAGCTTCAGAAGCCTTAGAAACATACCTGGAGGAGTCACTTGAATTTTCTGGTCATCCAACTCCTCTTCCTGTGGCACCAAAGCCACAAAACAAGGGGGGATGTTCTTGCGGGGTGTGTATCTGCACACTGCTAGGACCTCCTTCTCCAGACACTTGATGAGTAGAGCACTGAACAGGGTTGAGCTCCCTAGAAAACAAATGTCCCAGCAGCCTACATCCCAAAGAGGTCTCCTCCTTTCTTCCCTCTTAGCCCTGTAATTTCTCTTCCATTTTCTTCTTTTCTTCAGGGGAGAGTGTGAACACAGTCCCCCACTACCACAAATTATGCAGTCGAGTTTCCCACCGTTGGGGAAATTGTAGGGGTCGGCACATCTGGAGTGCAATGGATGAGCTCACCTGGGAAAACCACCTTCGTGATCATGGTATATCTTCCATTTTTTTTTAAAGGGTTTATGAAGCCTCCACAGGTGTGGGGTGAGAAACCCAGAGCTGAGGGGAAAGTGGGGGCAGTAGAAGTGTAGAAAGAAGAGGAAGGACAGGAATAAGAGGTTTGGAAGCCTCATATACTCCATTTACAATGTGGACTACTAACGTCAGTTCACTTTTATGGACATTAGGGTAAACACGTGAGCTCCAGCTGTTAATGAAGACTGAGCAAGTCAAATCTCGGGGGCTCATGAGCTGCAGTACAGAAGGCAGGTCTGGGCAGCACAAATAAACACAAGAGCGGAGTTCACATCGTCTTTAATTGACAACACTAGAGAAAAAGCTGTGAGTTTGTTTGGTTTTTGTATTTTGTTCTCTATCTGATGCATCAAAGAAAGAAGTATATAGGAAATAAGGATTCCTCCCACCCCCCCGCCACCAGTTTCTCCTGAGAAAAGGAGGTAAGTGTTTAAATGCTAAATTCCATAGTCCTTCCCAGATATTCACAATGCGTATCAGTATATTAGAGGTCCTAAAGAAATCTCTTTAACTTTAGTTCCACATTTCCAAAATCTGAGCAGGAAACACTTTAAAAATACTCCATTATGACAGGCATGGTGGTTCACACCTGTAATCCCAACATTTAGGGAGGCTGAAGCGGGAAGATCACTTCAGGCCAGGAGTTAGAGACCAGCCTGGGCAAGATACTGAGACCTTGCCTGTACAAAAAATAAAAATTAGCCAGGCATGGTGGCACATGTCTGTAGTCCTAACTACTCAAGAGGCTGAGCTCAGGAGTTCAAGGCTGCAGTGAGCTATGATCGCACCACTGTACTCCAGCCTGGGCAACAGAGTGAGACTCTGTCTCAAAAAAAAAAAAAAATACCCCATTAACATCTGTACAGTGTCTAAGCAACGCCCATTCGGGAAACGCTGCCCACAAACAGTGCTCTGTGTTAGTCGTCCATTCATCCTCGCTCTGTGCCACTCACCGTTCACCAGGGACTCCTCAGGGTACACGAACAGGGAGGGCCTCAGGTAGTGGTGCGTCTTCAGCATTACTAAGGGCTTGAAACCAATGAGAATCAAACCTGGCTCATCAAACCGTTTCAGCTCTTCTGTTTCCTCTTTCTCTAGCACAATCTGACGACTCCCATAGATCTAAGGAGGGAAACAGTGAGGAATACAGAAGAGAGGCTATGCAAAACAGCTGCTGCATGACTCTAGCAGGTTAAAAGCAGATCAGGAGCAGGAAGAGGGCTCAGCAGGGCATCCTCCTCCTATAACAGGGAATTAACATTTACTGAATGATGTCATCTACTTTTTCTTCTGTAACAATCCTAGGAGGTACGTGTTAAAAACTGTTTTAAACATGAGTGAACTGAGGCTCCGTTGTTGGGTAACTTGCTCCAGGTTGTACAAATGAATTGGGCTTTAAACCCAGATCTTTCTGGTGCCAAAGGCCATGCTCTTCAGGTATTTATTCCTTCTCTCATTTAACACGTACTGAGCTCCCAGCACTATCCCTGACACACAAAGGATGCTTAAGCCATACCTA